CAAGCAGTAAAAGCACCTGCCTAGCATACTCGAGGCCCTGAGTTCAAACTCCAGTGCTGCCAAAAATAAACAAACAAACAAAAAAATGGAAAAGAAAGGGCTTGTGAAGTGGCTCGTGGTAGAATGCCTGCCTAGCAAGCTTGAGGCTCTGAGTTCAAACCTAGTACCACAAAAAAAGAAAAGAAAAGAAAAAGAAGCCAGGTGCTGGTGGCTCACGCCTGTAATCCTAACTACTTGGGAGGCTGAGATGAAATTAGAAGGATCATTGTTCGAGGCCAACCTGGGCAAATAGTTTACAAGACCCCATCTCTGAAATAACCAGAGCAAAATGAACTGGAGGTGTGGCTCAAGCAGTAGAGCGCCTGCTTTGTAAGCATGAAGCCCTGAGTTCAAACCCCAGTTCCAACCCCTGACCCCCACTCCCCCACCCACTCCCACCCGCCAAAAGAAAGAAAGAAAGAAAAGAAAAAGAAATTGAAAGGATATAAAGACAGACTTTGCAAGTAGAATGTTTGCCTTGAGTTAGGCCTTTCCTAAGCAACTAGAAGAAATGAGGAGGGTTTGTACTGGCTCACTGCAGCTGGTACCACTCACCCTATTTGCAAAGAGGCAAATTTATCCTATAGGGCCTTCCATCCCCTCGTACGCTTTGAGGAGCTTAAATTTAATGCCAAAGATGACACAGAAAAGATTCACAGGATACTGGAGACTTTGCACAAGCACTGATAAACTCTCCGTGGCCTCTGGTTGTGATTTCTGGAAAACAAATAAAGGTGAGTTGCATTCTGTGTTCTCTCTGCATCCCGTACCAGAGCCGTGGACCCTGCCATGACTGGTTTCGGACTTATGAAGACTGGGCGGCTGATGCAATTTTTGTGCATGGCCTCAACATTCTTCCAAGGAGAAATCTTACTATTCTCAAGCAGAGATAGAAAAGCCTCTTTAGAAGGAAGTGACTCACAGGAGGAATCGGTGGTGAAGGGGTTCATCCCATTGAAACAAGAATGTGTCAACAAATTTTCCGAGGCCCGTGCCAAGAAGCTGCCAAGGAGTTTGAGTGGCTTGCAAACCATCAACAGCTGGCCACAAAGGACGCCTTGTGTGAGGAAACCACACTGCTACCCCACAAGGCAGCCAGCAGTCTACAGCGGCCACATCTCATGTAACCCACCCTCCATTGTTGGCACGAAGGCGCTGGCGAGAAGCTGTACCTTTTAGCCCCCACCCCATGGGACCCTTGGCGGTGTCTGTGGACATTTGTGATTTTAGGACTCGTGGCTGCTGACATGCAGTAGGCAGAGGCCAGGGATGAGGCTGAGTGTCCCATGGTTCATAGGACAACCCCAAAACAAAGGGTATCTGGCCCAAAATGTAGTAATGCTCAGACACTGGGGCCAAAAGTCCTTCACCTCCTTTCAAAAACCCCTCACCTGGAAAGCCATGCTGAGTTGTCACCTAAGGACGCACAGCACCCTGTGCACACTGCCTACCACAACTGAAATCAGCTTCACTTCCTTACCCGTGGTCACGTTGTCCCCAAGTTCTATGGGGACACAGACTGACTTTTGGTCTTTATTATGTCTTCAGAAACTGGCACTGTGCCCAAGTACGTTAAATTCATTAGCAATGAATGAAAGACATCTAATTAGAGCCAGCTTAGGCAAAATGAAGAATCTGGGGAAATGTATAAAAGCACAACTTCAGCAAGCTCGAGGACATAGCTGGAGTCCAGGAACAAGTGGAACCGAGCAAAGTTGGCGAGGCTCGCTCTGTGCCTCTCTCTGCAACACTACTCCTCTTCATGGCACACAGGCCATCAGCAGAGTCTGAGATTTCAGCTGGTAGTTGCCTCCCCTGAAGGGAGATAGGCCGGTCTGTCGGAGTCTCTAGTTCAGAAATTCTGAGGAAAACCTCCTCACTGGCTACCTGGGCCCAGCTGTCTACCCTGAACCAATCGAGTGCAGAGAAAGCTAAGAGCAGGGGCAGTTCCTAGCAAAGAATGGACTGGCCAGGTGCAGCCCTGGGACACAGCAGGCACAGCCCTGGGACACGGCAGGCACTCAGGGACTATCTGTTCAGTGACTGAATACTGAAAATCCCAGAGGAATGGAATGTGCGCCAAGCTATCTGGAATGACCTCCAGAGGTCACTGCTTTTAATGGGAGGAGAGATTTCTGATAAGAGATGATCTAGTTTCTTGAGGAGTCTGCCTGAGGGAGGCCTCCTGTTTGTTGGGGGTCTTTGACTAAAAAAATGAGTAAACCCTACTGAAATTAGCTCAAGTACAGCAGGAGATTTTTGGTGCCTGTCACCCTGAAGTCAGAGGACAGACTAAGCTGCAGGCACAGTTAGGTTCGGGCTCTCAGCCAATCTTTACCCCGTCTTTGTCAGCCTGATTCTGTTGCCAGCTCTGTCCATGTATTAGGGAAGACAGACAGACACAGGAAGGCTGGACTCACGTCATCCCAGTTTCCTCTTGAAAAAGAGAACTGGCCCCATGTCCATTTGAAGACTCTGACTGACTTTTCTTGGGTCACGGGCCCAAGGTTGAGCTAAGTATTGTGTTCCAAGTGTGGGCACTTGTGACGGATGCACCTCGTCTCATCCGCTCCTACGCTGGCAGTCTGCACACCCAGTGCCAGCCCACTAGTGGTCACCTAGAGTCACAGAGCAGTTCCCGAAGGGACCAGAAGAAACGAGATAGCAGCAAGAGAGAGAAACGAAGGCGGTCCCATAGTCCACTGCGCTGCTCTTCCACTGAAAACTCCAGAGACCTTGGAGACAGAAACAACCCGAGGCCATGATCACCAAAGCGAAAGAAAGGCCACTTACGAACCAGAAATGACGCCATGAGCTAGAGACACTTGGCAATACTCAGTCTAACACAATTAGTTCCATTTTACTTTGGCTTTCACACAGGTTTTCAAGGTGAAGATCCCTGTCACAGATAGGCCAGGAGGGGACACAGCCCCCAGTCCTCATTCTCGCTCAGCTTCTGCTTCTTCCTCCCACGCTTTGAGGCGCTTAAATTTAATGACAAAGCTTTGCCTGAGGACTTGTATGTTTAGGAATTCCTTCCCTCCCTCCCTCCCTCCCTCCTCCCTCCCTCCTTCCATCTCTCCTTCCCTTCCTTCCCTCCTTCCTTCCTTCCTCTCTCCCTCCCTCCTCCCTCCCTCCCTTCCTCTCTCCCTCCCTCCTTCCTTCCTTCCTTCCCTCCTTCCTCCCTCCCTCCCTCCTTCCCTCCTTCCCTCCCTCCTTCCCTCCTTCCTTCCTTCCCTCCCTCCATCCCTCCTTTCTTTCTTTTTGGTGTTATCGGAGTTTGAACTCAGGACCAAGTGCTTGCTAGCAAGTGCTCTATCACATCAGCCACACCCCCAACCATGTTCTGCTTCAGTTATTTTTTCAGTAGCGTCTCGTGTTTTTGACTGGGGCCAGCCTCAGACCATGACTTGCCTACCCATACCGCCCTCATAGCTGGGGTGACAGGTGCATGGCCCTGTACCAGTATATTGTTGAGATGGGGTCTTGCTAACTTTTTTGCCCAGGCTGGCCTTGAACCTTCCAAGAAGCTGGGATTACAGGCAGAAGCTATCATGCTCGGCCTTTTTCTTTCATGACCATAATACATGATATAAGAAAAGGCATTCATAACAAGAAAATAGAGAGCACGACAGGTCCCCTTTGGACCTAGCATCCTGTTCCAATAGGCATCAACTCCTGGCTTATCCAGCATCATTCCTACTGCCATCCAGTTCCCACATTCTTTCCCAAGCCTCTGAGCACATTTTATCTATGAAAACTGTGTGTATTTCTGAAAGACAAGAATTCTGTTTTTAAAAGTCACAATATCATTAGCATACCTTGAAAATAGTGATAATTCCTTAATAACATCAAATATTCAGTGGGGTTTATAATCCTCTGATTTTATAACTTTATTCATTCATTTGTTCATGAATCCATTCATTGTGTATTTTACAGTACAGTAAGACCCTGCATTACTAGGGGTGATATGCCCCTTGTGTCTCTTTGTCTATAGCCCCCCACCCCTTTCTTTTTTTCCTTGCAATCTCTTCATTGAAAACTGGTGATTTGTCCTGTCCTGTTCCCCAGAGTCTGAGTCTTAGCGATGGCATCTCATGGAATTTTTTAATCAGCTTCTCTGGTCACTCTGTTCCTAGACCCTGGCCATTACATTTAAAAGTTAGGTCAGACCCAGATCGAACCCTGTGGCCACACCATGCCTTGGGTGCGAGTGCTGCTCTCTTAGGAACCACTGACTCCTTAATTTGTTAGGGACTGTGAAGAAATGATGTTCTTTCATTCCTTCATGATTGACCAGCTGCCATGATCTAGAAAGAGAACCTCCGAATCAATATCCCTCTGAGGTTTAATTTACACAGGAATGGTGGGAAAGCCTGACTCTTTACTTAGAATAATGACTTGGTTGCCTGTCACTGTCCAGCAGTGACCAGTGAGTGTGGAATTGAATATGTTACAGATGCTCTATTCCACTGCATTTATTGTATTTATTACTCTTATGTTGTCCAGCTTGTGGCCAGCAGAGTCTGTTCAAGACAGCTCCTGGGTCTGTTTTTAATTTCAACACTGATATGATTTTATTTCTAAGATGGACACTTTTTTGTCCTTAGTCTTACCTACAAATATGTGGATTTTCTCCTTCAATTTTTAAATACTCTTTTTATTAAAGTATGATGTACATGTGCAAACCCATGATTTATGAAGAAGTAGCTTGAACTGCTTGAGGTGAACAGCGCTGCATATCTAGTGTGTCAAGAGTATGACCAGTATGTCTTATGACCTTCAAAGGTAACCACGCTTGGCTTCTGGTCCCATGGGTTCACTTAGCTTATTTTGACTTCATACAAATTAAATCATGTAGTACGTACTCCTTCATGTCTGATTTCTTTTGCTCAACTTATGTTTGTGAAATTCATCCATATTCTTGTGTGTACAATAGTTAATTCATTTTCTGTTATCAGATACAGACCTCTTGGACCAATTCTCTACTCTTTTTCTTCTGGTGGTACTGGGAATTGAACTCAGGACCTTCTGCCAGTGCACCACACTGAAAGTTCTGTGCACTCGTGGGGCAGGAATCCCGTTCAACTTGTCTACTAGAGCTGTCCTGGGAACCTGTGGCTTCCTCAGGTGCCAGGAGACTCTCCGGAGGCTCAGAACTGTGGGACTCTCCTTGATAATTCACAGCTGAGCAATTCAAAGATTGTTGGGGGAGTGCTGAGAATTGAGCCTGGGGCCCATGTGCCCCCACTATCAAGCAACACCCAGCCCCGGATCAAGTTTGAAGGTGGGTATTGCTAAAGGAAGGTCTCCCTTGTCTTTCTATGGATTTAACCTTGGGTTGTTTTCAAGATGGCCCCAGGAAAGTGATGTTTGCAGTCTTGGGACCTGACCCTGGCATCCCCTTTACCCTCGCTGCAGCCAGGCAGGTCTTCTAACAAACCACTAAATGGGAGTCCTATGAGTTATGGTTGACATTTGCATTGAGGGGTAGCTGTTTCCCTGTGCGGGTTACAGCCAGCCGGGTCCCATGCCTGAGAAGATATCCCTCCCCCTCCCCAGCCTGTTCCCATAACAACCTCCAGAACTTCCAATGTAATGAATGCCAGGCTTTCAAAACCTGCATGCTGCTCGCACATGGAGGCAATAACTGTCGGTCTCCATTATAGCCTGAATGCTAAAACTCTATTTTTGACCACATGTGGCTTTCTTGCTGGGAGAACTGCTCTCTGCTCATTGGCTGGGATGGAGTCGGTCTCTTGGGCCTGCTTCTGCTCCCTCTGCTGGGGAGCAAAGTCACCTTCCCAGTGACAACTGAGAGAGTGGCCGGTTATTGAATTTGACTATTTTAGCCAGTTTCCTTGTAAAGAATTCAAATTTGCTTTCAAATTTTTCTTAAGTTCTGTTTTTGTGACCTAAGTTAGTCAAATGCAATACATTGCTAGACAGTGTAAAAGGAGAATTTTTTTCCCTGTGGCTGTTAACAAAAGGCAGCTAAATTCATGATTGACTAGCAATGTTTCCCGCAGCGTGCCTGCTATCACATGAAGTAGCATTAATCTCTTAAACTACCAAAGTATCATAATAATCAAAATACCAAAAAAATTTGTCTACTATCAATGTTTCCAACAGAATCACATCTTCCCTGTTTTCTTTCGTAACAATTCTAAATATATAAGAAAAAGAAAGATGCTTCACAAATAAATGTCATGTAAAAAGATCCATAAGACTAAGTTCTTCAGATATTTCAGTAAAATTTTAGGTAGCAGTTAGCTAGCTACAAAACAACTTTTTCTGAGCATTAAATGGCTAACAGTATATTATGGTATGTATATGTTATATGCATTTTTACGTAATAGATTAGGTTCCTTAACTGGACAATGAGCATGGTGGTGCACAGCTGTAATCCAAACTACTTGGAAGACTGAGGTGGGAGGAACACAAGTTTGACTCCATTCTGAGCAAATGGCAAGTCTCCATCTTAACAAAAGCAACTATTCCCATGGTTTGTTCAAGTAAGTTGGACCAGGGTTATTTATTAAATAGATTTCAAAGTCATCCATTCATTTACCCGTGTGTGTCTTCTGCACCTGAGTCATATGTCAGGCACTGTTCTGACTCGGGATGTAATGGAACACGAAACTAAAACACCCCTCAGGAAACGGTCTCTGTGGTAGGGTATTTTCTAACATTGTCCTTTGCCTTTTCAATATCCGCCTCCATTATTCCAGTTGAAGCTGGGCTTTCAAAGCAAGCCTTCTCTGGGGCACCTCGCTACACAACTCAAGAGGGTGACATTCTCCACAGGTACATGACACAGTAGTCCCACGTGTGGTTCAGGTGTAGGGCACCTCACCTGAAAGCATTTGCAGTGGGTTCGACTAATCCCTAATTGTACCGTGACCTCGCCTTGTGGTATTCAAGCACTTGTCTAGTCTTCTTTCACATGAATGTGGCAGAAGTGACATTGAATGGCTTCTGGAGTGACCTCAGAAAAGCATTGAAGCTGCTGCCTGCTTTCTTGATTGTTTGCTGTAGGAAGTCAGGCACCCTGCCACGAGGATGCTCATGCAGCCCTGTGGAAAGACCCCATGGGGAAGATCTGAGGTCACCCACCAATGGCCACAGCTGGCACTAACTTGACAACCGTGAGCACTCGGAAGTGCACCCTCCCACCCCAGTGGAGCCTTCAATAGCCTGTAGACACAGCTGACTCTAACTTCATCAGGCACTCCAAGTCAGAACCACCCAACCACACTACTCCCAAATCGTTGACTCATTGTCTAAGAGAGATAGATGATTGCTACTGTTTTAAACCACTAAGTTTTGGAGGAGATTTGTTACACCCCCAAATCTTTCCAGTCCTCAGACACTAACAACTTTTCCCATAAAGTATCTATTGGAATATCTTCTTCCTAAAATCAGGGAATGTTCTCTGGCAGTTAATAAGGGGCTGATCTGATAAACTGGTAGGAATTACTGAGTAAATCTGTGAATATATTAATAGTGTATCTTCTCTCTGCTAAAAACATTTGTACTTTTAAAACATCCTTAAAGTTAGCAGACGTTAAGTGCGTACTTATATAAATCACGGGGCTGGACTTCTGCAGGTCCACAGGTGGACAGAAAAGGGTCTCTTCCTTAAAGACTTTATCAAGAAACCAGGGAGACCAAAGGCAGAATGTAGTTCACGCTGATAATGGCTATAACCTCATACCTTACAAAAAGCAACATCGATTACTTCTAGGAGGAGTGAACAGGAAATGGTATTTGAGTTGGGAGAACAAGAGTAGAATTCCAAAAGAAGCAAACTGAACTAAGGTCCATGACTGATAGGGGTGGTAGTTGGGAAGTGAGCTTTTGCACGGTTATAGGAACAATAGTGGTTAGTGCCCCTCTGTTCAGAGCCTATCATGTTCCCAGCACCATGCACACATACATCTGTATCTGTGAAATGATTAGCAATATATCCATTTTACAGATGAAGAGGAAGAAACAAGAGTTTCCAAAACTGGCTTTCCCAATATAACCAGGTAGGAGATAGAGAAGTCAGGGGCTAAACACAGCTCTTTTTAAATTAGCATATGCTAATTGTACAAAATGATGGGATTCATTGTGACATTTTCATACATACACATAAAGTGCACTCAGATCTTTTGATGTCAAAGCCAGCGTCCCTCCCACTGCCCCACAAGGAAATGAAGTAACTTTCCCAAGGCTCAGAACATGCACACGCGTGATCCCTGAGTCCTCCAGGGCCACTTATGTCACCCATCTTTCTTCCAAAAAATGCCATTAGGATGTGTTGACAGCTAAGCTTTTATTTTAAGGGAGCCAGTGTGTCTTCGGACAAATCAATTCCAGGAGGAGAATTCTGGAAAAATGCTGTGGTTATATAATGGCACCTAAAAATTTCCAAGGGAGAGAAAGAAGTTGTCAAAGGAGGCCCAGGGGCTTTTGGGTGAAAGCACATTTCAAGTCTAACTGTCCGTCCACAAGCCCCCGAGGGTTTAGGCACCACTTGCTCTTCAGCATTTCGTGGTTTTACGGTCTGACAATTTAGCCCAAGTTTTTGGGTAAAAAATGAGTACGGCTGTTTCCTTTATTTGTTTACCTCCTACATTCTTCTTGTCAGTACTTTTTGAATGTCAATCTATGTGTGGTGAAGTACACACCTCTTAAGGGGGTGCTCAATGACATTTTACATCTGTGCACGTCTGTCTGGCCACCACCCAGATGAAGATGTAGAACCTAGTCGTTACTCAGAAAGGTCCCTCAAGCCTTTCAGGCAACAACACTCACCCTCAGCAATGACCAAAGTTCTGGCTTGTGCCATTACGGGTCGTTGTGCTGGTCCTCAAATTTGTGGAAGCAGATGCATGCGGCTTGTGTTCTTTTGGGTTCGGCTTCTTTTGTTCCTTGCTTTCAGGCAGATGGCACATGTCAGCGGTTTCTTTTTTATTACTGAGTCCCATTCCACTGTACTAAAAAGCTACTCTACAGGAAATAATATGGAGAAATTATTTACATCTACTTGGTCAATATTTAAATTCACCCTTTATAGTCTTTGTAGCATGTCAAAATTTCTCATACCAGGCCCCAGTCATTAAGACGTGTTGCTTCCGGGGCAGGCATATAGTTCAGTGGTAGAAGATTTGTCTAGCGTGCATGGGGCTCTGGGTTTGATCCCTAGTGCCACAAAATAAATAATAAATAAATAAATAAATTCTTCCTCTTCTGAACACTTCCACACAAGCTTCAGGACTGTTTATCTATCATCAGGGTATAAAGATATGCTCTTGAAGGGGTATGTCTTTTCTGTTTTTTTTTTTTTGTGTGCTGGGTGGGGGTACATTGTGGCATTTACAAAAGGTCTTACAATGTACCAAGTATGTCCTACCTGAATTCACCCCCTGGAATATATTTTTCCATTCTCCAACCTGGCAGGGCAGAAATGAAGGCTGGAAGATCTTGAAACATCTCAGGATTGTAATAAATAGTAGTAGCTGTTATTGTTATTTTATTATTACATAGAGGAGTCCTTAAAAAATCCATTCTAAAAAAATAAGTTAATTGTCCAGGAGAATTTTAGAACTGGGGATGTCTTGTAGCTGGAAATATAGCTTAAAGGCATAGACCTGGGTACATCCCCAGCACCAAAATCAAGCAAAAAACCAACCAAACAAAAGTTGGTACTGGGTTTGGTTACATATACCTCTAGTCCCAACTTCTTGGGAGGATGAGGCAGGAGAACCACTTGAACCCACAAGTCTAAGACCAGCCTGGGCAACACAGTGAGACCCCATCTTAAAAACAAGACAACAACCACCCAACTGGTGATGTGCAATCTTGGACAGTATCAGCCACCGAGGCTGTTATTTTGGTCGTTCAAGAAAAGTGTCCAGGAAAAATGAGTTTGGGAAACACATTCGAAGAGACAAAGATAAATCTCTCAGAAGAGTAAGCTAAGATCTGAACTAGTCACAGTTCTATGAAATAACCAAGGGTGTCAGGGAGGAGTCAAAGATTTCAATGTGGAAAAAGGCGCAGAAAGTATTCACTCAGTCAAAACAAAGAATCAAAGCCATATTGGTTTTGCCACAATAAGTGGGTGAAAGTGATCCCCGTCCACGCACATTGTTTTGGGTTAGATGGTACCAAGTCACTGGTTTGGAAGATTTCTTTTTCCCCATTGCATTAATCATAATTTTGGTACTGGGTAGATGCAACCTAAATCACAGGGTAGGGAGAGATGCCAGAGGCTCATTCACAGGCACGTCTACTGGTCTAGCTAACATTCCTGGCAGGAACTTGAATATGAGCCGCTCCTCACAAAATGTACTCATGTAAGCGACCATTTGGTTGAGATTCATGCCAGTTTGTGTCCTCAGCAATTCGCTGTTATATAGGCTTGAGGGAAAACGGGTTCCTGGGAAAAATAATCTTTGTGGTTTTTGAAGGAAATTCATCTAATCCCTAAGGCTGCTCCTTCTTAGGACTCTGGGGAAAATTATTTTCAATATTGGATTATTTCCTTTTCATGTACTTGTCACTTTAATTACTTAAAATCTCACAGGACAGGTAGTGTCTACCTGGACTAAAGAAAACTGGAAACTTTTCATATCTTCTCTGATAATTCAAGGCAACCCAGCAAGTCACTGTTATGATTTGAACACAGCCTTTGTAATTTGCTATAGGTATGATTTGGGCAAGTCACTTAATTGTCCTGTGCCTCAGTATTCTCATCTTAAAATGATATGGATTAAAGTAAATTAATGAGAGCTGGGCATTATAGTGCATGTCTGTAGTCCCAGCTACTTGGGAGGCTGAGGCAAAGGATTGTTTGAGCCCAGAATTCAAGAACAGCTTGGACAACATGGTGAGACCCTGTATCAAAAAACACAAGTAAAATAAATAAGCTAAAAAGGAATTAATAGGTGTTCAGTGGCTCTCAAACTTATGCTGTACCAAAACCGGAGCTTAAAGTAGATTGGTAGGTTGGGGTGTCGCTCAGTGGTAGAGCTGCATGGGTGAAGCCCTGAGGTCAATCCCAGTGCTGCCAAAAACCAAAACCCAACTCAAACACCAACACTATACAACCAAATTGCTGTGCCCCATCCCAAGGATCCTGATGCAGCCCATGGCATGGGAAAGGGACCGAGATTTGCATTTCCAGCCTTCCTGGTGGAGGCTGATGGCCTTTGAGGGGCATTTGGTGAGTTATTTATGTAACTACTGTGCACCTCAGAGGACCTGGCACATGGGCACACACTAGTGTGATTGTTCTTGTCAGTGTCCTCTTCATCATCATCAGAGTCATGGTGTCGTCATCATCTAGGTGACCATGTGATAGCAAGGCAACTCTCACAGTTATTACAATTCATACAAATGGAGACTCAGCATCCCTGAGCAATTCCAATGGAAAGAACTGAACAAGTGTCCCTGACAGGACAACCCATGAGCAGTGCAGCCTGTCTCACCCAGACAGCTGTGAAACAAAGACCAAAGAAATGGGAAAGCAAACTAGCAAAGGCGTAGGCCATCGTCACCTGTGTGTAGCAGAGACTCAAAGACAGGCAGAGCAGTGGGAAGGCTTTGTAGCAGAAGGTGAAAGGCTTCAGTGTGCACTGACCAGAGGCTGTTGGGGGGAAGCTGTGGGCAGGCTTATTGGAAGTGGGGCACCTAGTGTGATTGGCTAGGGGTGCTTTCTGTACTTTCTCTGATTAGACCAATTTAGGAGGTTGGGACAAGACTTAGGGAAGTTCTTAGTTTGTTGTGGAAGTTGTTTACTTTACTGGATTGTCACTAAAGAGAGTGACCTGGCTGTCCACAAGTCTGACTCACAGCAGGCTGACTTCCTAGGTGATTTGTTGCCATAGGGGGTTGGTTTCCTGGGCAGGTTGTTGGTCAAAGTCTGATTTTTATGTGTGGTCTGGCGATCATCTGTATACGGTCAGTCTTTCAGCTGACACAGACAATTCACAGGGAGACGAAGTTCTTTTCACTGGCCAGTGATCCAAAACATCAGTACCTATGGCCCTTCTTACAACTCAAAGATTGACCTGCTTCTGCGTCATCTATTGTGAGCCTAGTGAGTGTTTATGTCTGTGAACAAAGGACCTGTCCTCGACACTCTGGCAAATCAGCCAAAAAAAAAAAAAAAAAAAACCCACAGGACAGATCCTGTAGTTTACTGAATCACAACCTAGTGCCACATGGCACACCTCTTGTTGGCCATGAACCATTCTTCCAGGGGTGGCGACCCAACCCCAGTGTAACTTACACTGAACTTGAGATTTCTGTACTCTGTACAGCCCTGTAAGTCAGCACATCAAGGTCTAGAAGTAATAGCACCAATTATAATACTCAAAATTATTGTGCCATCCTTGTATGCCAGGCTGTGGTGTGCAAAAGCACTGAATCTGCACAGAAAAGCTGCAAGGTGGGGAGTGTCACTGTTGTGCTAACAAGTTTCAGACCTGAGGACTTCGGTATCGAAGTTCCCAGTGATGCTGACGCTACGGATCCTGGGGGGGGTGTGTGTCCCACTTTGAAGCCAGTATTATAGAAGATCAAGTGGACAGGTATGTATACAACTGGAAAAGAAACGGTGACAGAATTTCCAAATAATAGAAGGGATCAAAATTTGATTGAGTAGTCACGGAGGGCTCTCTAAATAAGCAACTTTCTGACTCGTCCCTCTTTTTTTGATTTTCTCTGTAGCTCTCTAAGATCTGATGACTCCACTATCCCTGGCACTCCAAATATTATGACCTTGGGTTAGGTAAGTTTCTTTTTTTGAAGATATGACACTAAAAGTGCAGCATAGGAAAGGACAAATAAATGAAAGGACTTCATCAAAATTACAAACATCTACCTCTTCTATTGCACAGTAGGGTAGTGACTGGAGATGGCAAAAATGTACTTATTTTAAAAAAATGAGAGGAAAGGATTTTGAATGTTTTCATCACAAAGAAATAAGTGAGGAGATAGCTATGTTTACCCTGAGTTGACCCTTACACAATGTATACATGTATGCAAACATCACAGTGGTATTCCACATGTATGTACAATGCAAGAGCTGATTTAAGTAAATAGATAAATATTTCTGCTGGTCTTTGTGTTTGAAATAGGAAAGAAGAAAAAGAGGGAGGAAGGCAAGGATATGATAATATGTGTCTCCTAGAGGTCTACAGATCAAGTTAATAGGAAATAAAGTTACACAGCATTTGAATCCGATGACAGAGGAAAGAGGAAGTTGAGAGGTACAAGTTTTGGAGGGTGGTGGAAATATTCTAAAATGAGGTTTTAGTGATTTGCACAGCTCTGGGACATACTGGAATTGGTGACTTATGTGAAACATAGCTCAGTGAAGTTATAAACAGAACAAACTTGCGCCTTTTCAAAAGACTGATGAGTGAATGGGCTCAGGCCTCCTGCTGGTGCATAATTCTTGAAGAGTGTGTGTCTGCCTGACACAGGACCTGTGTTCCACCCTCTCCCTAAGGTGCAGGCATCCAGGCTGAAATCCAGACCATCGCATGAAAGGCTGTGGTCCTTTAGCCTGGAAGTCAAGGTCTCACCCATGTGCTGTGCCCCATTCTGTCTATAGCAGCTCTTTAGGCCTCAGGGGCCCCATCTTCATAGATGCGCACCATCTGTCCTGGTCCTCTGGTTTCAAATGTGGCCCCCGCCACCATGGGCCATTGAATTCCAACCAACCTGCTCCCTCCAGGAAGCCGTCCTTGTCTGCAGCTTTCCTTCCTTCCTGTCTTTCCCTTTTGGCTCTAGGACATGTACACATTGATCCTAGTTACATAGATGGTTAGGGCTGTTCTTGATTGGACTTTTGTGGGTCAGTCCTGAATTCTCCAGTCGAGGTGCTCCTTGATTGAGGGACCACACAGCCCTGGGCCCAGAGGGAAGGAGCCGTCCCTTCATGCCCTTTCAGGCCCAGGCCCAGCTTAAACGTGGACGAGCACGTGCTGTCCACATGCACTGAATGTCAGGGTCTGTCTTCAAGCCCCCACTCCTGAAGCTGTGAAGTGGGAGCAGATGGCCTGGGTTATTTGATTCCTAGAAGCCTTTACCAGTTTCAAGGATTCGGATTTCATTCATGCCTCTCCTTCCTCTTTCTATGCCAGCATCACCTGAGGAACTTTTAACACTAGCACTGCCTGAATATAGCATTTGCAATTGGCTGGAGGTGGATCCTGCCCACCGGCAATTTTGTGGCAGGTGTGTGCACCTGGGGTCCCCAGTTTGGCAGGGGAGGCTGGCCACCTGAGCAGAGCCTGCAGTTTTTCATGCACCTATGCTTCCCCCTGCTGTCCAGATCACACACGACAGGTAGATCGATGCTTTTAAGAGTTTCAAGCTGGGAAAGGAAAAATGTGATGAAGAAGGTCGAAGAGAACCCAAGGGTTCACAGATGCTCAGGTACTCACCCTTCCCAATGTCCCTTCAGCAAGTGACGTTTATGTCTATATAAAAATGAAGAGACTAACTCCCGGGGACAGTCACACCACATTAGCGTGAAAATGTCTCTCTGAGCCCACGGCCTGGGTGGAAAGGGAATTCAGGGGTGCATCTGAGGCAGCAAAGCCAAGCAAGACTCCCGAGATGAAGAGGTACTGAGTGCAACATGCTTGGGAAAATGTGCACTCTGCATGGTTTCGTCATTAATTACCTGTCATGGTAATGTTGGGTGAGATAATTTGCCTGAGCCTTGGGGATCACCGCCCACCACACAGCTCTAGTCTGACAAACATGCCAAGGGCCACAAATCCTTAATAGACTCATTAACAGACTTTCCAAACTCCTGCCCGCTTGATTTGTGTGGTGTTCCCCAACCTGGCTAGGAGTCTGCAAAAGTAGAGAGCTCACTTTTTAAGCATAAAATAAAAGAGTGTGCTTTAAAATATTACTTTATTGTCACAATGCAATCTACACAGCATGTTCACAAGACAAGCTCATGAAGGGTGGCATCACAGACCACTGTGTGGTGTCCACACCTGGACCATGAAATCTTGGGTTTTGGGATCATTAATCGCGCCAAGTCTCATTGCCTCAGGCCCCAAAAAGGGGAGATACTGCATCCTGGATATCTGATTACCTCATGTGTGGTTCTGCTGTTCCCCACTTGCAGTGCCTTCTCACCGAGTCAGTCCTCCACCTGGTTAATTACACCTTTCAGATCCTACATCAAGCCTTCCTTTCCTGGGGAGGCCAACCTCCACACCCACAGCAAGTAAAATGCCCCAGTTTACAAGTACACTTTTCTCCTTCAGAGATCACACTGTTTTTCCAGAGCTGGGTATCAAACCTTGCATGCTAGGCAAGGACTCTAACATGGAGCCACACCCCAGCCCCAGAGACCACAATTTAAATTCATTCAAAAAATGTTTGGGGGTCAGTATCCCCAAAGTGAATTTGACTCTTTAATGGTGGGATGGTGTCTTTCTCTCTGCTGAACTCAGCACCACACCTGGCCCATCGCAGAGGGCTCAATAAGTAGTTGAGTGAGTCCTACCCTTGAACAAAGCTATTCTGTCTTTATTTTTTTTTTGGAGGTACTGGGGTTTGAACTCAGGATCTCACGCTTGCTAAGCAGGCACTCTGCTCTACCACTTGAGCCATGTTGCCAGCTCCTTTTGGTGTGGGGTCTTTTTGAGATAGGGTCTTGCTTTTTGCTCAGGCTGGCCTTGAACCATGATTCTCCTAATCTCTGTTTCCCAAGTAGCTAGGATTACAGACATGAGCCACGGGCGATGGCCAACACTGTCCTTTCTGAGCATTCCTATTTACTTGTCATCCTAAATTTTCTTTTTTACCATTAATTGAGCAAAAGGAATTCATTTCGGTGTCGTCAGCATGGCTGCTTTCTATGTATCTCATAAAAGAAGTAACTTACTTCTGTCAGAAATGAATATTCCAACTGAAGACACAGGAACAAAGAATCATCTCAGCAATGCAAAACCTTACTTCTGTCCAGAAGGATGCCAGTGTGCACGTGGGCAAAACCAACACAAAGTGGGCAGGCAGTCTGTACCCCTTATATTTCTGACACAATTAACCTGCCTTTTGATCTGGATTGGTCCAGATCAAAAGTTTACAATCTTCTCAACTGGCTGAAATTCTAAATCTACTTGGGGGCAGTGTTAAGACACACAGTATAGTGGTCAATTTTTGTGGGCAAAGGGGGCTCAGCAGGAATCCAGACAAAGAAGCCAGAAATACAGGCAATTATAATGGAGACACACGTTTTGATAGAAAAGACTATTTTCTCACACTTCGTAAGATAAATTGAGAACAGACAAGTTAAACACTAGAAGGAACAACAAAAGTAAAGCCCTGGCATATATTTGATCTCTACTTTTTTCAGCAATACTCTGTTCTGACTTCTACTCCTTGCCAGCCTCTACTCCTTGTCTTTTCAGCTTTGGTTTTCAGAGGAAAACCACTGGATTGTGGTGTGCTCACTGTGCAGAGCAAAAGCCATGCTTACCTTCAGAAGGTTCTGTGGACATAGACAATCCCGGTCCAGGTGTGAACTGTGCTCCTTAGGCTGTGTTCATTACAACGAGATCTTTGCTGCTCGAAATATGTTCCCAGACCAGGAATACATTAGCACCAATGCAGAGCTTGATAGGAATGCAGAGCCTCAGTCCCAGCCAAGGACAAAGAAGGTGTGTTGGACCCAGGTGTGGGGGACATGTCTGTAGGCCCATGCTTGGGAGGCTGAGGCGGGACGATCACCTGAGCTCTGACGTTTGAGACCAACCTATACAACATACTGAGTGTTAGGAAAACGCACACAAAGAAAACGCACGAGAAAACTCACGTCCAAGGGCAGGGTTTAATGGCAGGTGCGGGGTAGTGCAGGAAGAGGAAAGGACAAAAGGGAAGGGGTTCAGGCCAGGCATGGCCTTCTGTAGGAGAGGGAGGGTAAGGGGTTGGCGCATACGCCAGGGGTCCCTGATGGAGGTGGAGCTTGAGTGGAGCTTGTTTTTGGGAGCACGGGAAACCTTGTTAAGGGGAGGGAATGGCTCCATTTTCCATGAGGTGCCGCTGATCTACAAAATGACGGCATTATTGTTCTATCATTCCCCCATTTTTCTTTAATAATAATGAAGATAGGGGCTGAGGATCAGGAATTGGGGTGAAGCATCACTCTCTTTAACTGCTTCCTGCTGGCAGAGGGTGTTGTGTGGGGCGGGATCCTCAGGCTCCTGTGGCGTCCTGGATGGAGCAGTCACAGTAGTTTTCTGGGTGGTTTTGGAGAGGTTGGTGTCCCTGGAGGTACAACTGGTTAAATTTTTGGTTAGCAATAGCAGACATACGGTCTAAAAGAAATCCTTGCATTGTTCTTATGATACAAGGGAGGAAGCTTAAGAACAGGAGAGCAAGAAACACAGGCATTAGGTGGGCATCGGCCAGGAGAACCACTGTGAAATGTTATTCTCTCGAGGATTCCCAGAGTCCTCCAGTTCCCTTCTCCGTTTTTCTAGTTGTTCTTGGAGTTGCCTAGTTTTATTTTTACTACTCCCGACTGGTTAACACAGAAGCAGCACTCCTCTTGTAAAAATAGGCAGAGACCACCCTTTTCTGCAGTGAGCAGGTCAAGGCCTCGTCGGTTTTGGAGTACAACTGAGGCTAGGGAGTCAAGTTGTTTTTGTAGGGTTAGGATAGACTCGGCTACCGTTTGAAGATCACTTATCAATCCATTAGAGAGTTTTGTGTAGTAGCGGATAGAAGTTCCTATTTCCGCAGCCTCAGTTCCCATGGCAACCATTATTCCCAGGGTGGCTAACAAGAGAATGGCCTGGATTGCCCGTTTTGATCGAAGATGCACGGTGAGGGGGATGGGTAGGTCCTGATCTTCTGTAATAATGTCCATGTCAGGGACCAAAAATACCAGAGTGCAGGTGCCCTTCCAGGCTGGGGGTAAACAGGGGTATACACTCTGACCGCATAGAAAGAGAGTCCCAGGAATGAGGGGGCAACAGATATTGTTCCCGGTTTTGTTGGCCGCCCTAGTAGTGTGACATTTTTTTGTCACCAAGGAACCTACCTCGACTATCCCTGAGGAACTCTGTAGACAGAGAGGGGCTGGCTGGAAGAGGGGAACTGGGGAAAGGGTGGAGGCGGTGGGCCTTTTGGTGAAGGAACAGTTTAAGGTAAGAGGTGTGGAAATATTTATGGGGCTGGCGATGACCTGAGAAGGGCCAGTTCGCTGACACATCCAACAACACGGGCTAGAGTAGGATTGGTGTGGTTGAGTAATTGATGAGTGGTATTTATGACCTGGAGGAGAAGGGTTTCAGAAAGAGACAGTGTTTGTAAAGGAGTTTTGAGAGGCTTTCTGGTGGGAAAGAATAGGTTGTCAAGAACCTGAGGTACCTGGCTGCGGAGGACCTTCTTGTATGCATTTCACACTTCACTGTTCCACTCCGCTATCTGGAAGGAAAGGGGATTCCCATTATCAATGCTGCCTTAATAGACCAGGTCCTAGAGGCTTCACACCTCCCTTCCCTGGTGGGCATTACTCATTGCAAAGCCCACCAAACTGACTCCTCCATAATTACCAGAGGAAATAACCGAGCGGATACAAAGGCCAAGTGAGCAGCCCTCCAAACTGCACCCAAATTGGCTATGTACCCCCTTACCCCAGCTTCCTCCCCTCCTCTCACTAAACTTTCTCTCCCCCCTTCTGAAGTTAAAACTCTTCTCTCCTATTTACGTACGCTTTTTCATCCTAACCTTCATGCTTTTTACACCTTTCTCTGCCAATCCCTTTCCCTAGCTCCAGGAGACATACATACCTTAAACAGATTACCCAATCCTGCTCAATTTGCCAGCGCACAGACCCCAACTCCAATATCAGACCCCCTCCCTTTCTTACCCACCAAGCCAGGGGATGCCTCCCTGCCATGGATTGGCAGGTGGACTTCACACATGTGCCTCCAGTGAAGAGGATTAAGTACCTCCTGGTATTGGTAGACACCTTCACGGGATGGGTGGAGGCCTTCCCTACGACCAATAAAAAGGCCTCCACAGGAACAACCATTTTAGTCACAGACATCATCCCACAGTTTGGTCTCCCAGCCTCTATCCAGTCAGACAATGGGCCTGAGTTTGCTTCCTCCATTTCCCAAAAATTGGCACAAGCCTTAAATATTCACTGGAGATTTCCCATTCCCTGTCACCCCCAATCTTCGGGTAAAGTCGAACGTGCCAATCGCACACTAAAAAATACTCTCACCAAACTCTCCCTCGAGCTCCACCTAGACTGGACAAAGCTCCTACCCCTAGTCCTTCTCTGTCTCTGTGCCCTCCCAAAAAGACCACGCATGCTCAGCCCCTTTGAGCTCCTCTATGGCCGTCCACTCCTCCCTATCACGGTTCAGCCAGAACCCCGTAACATTCCCCCACTCTCCTCATCCTCTCCTCACTTTTCTTCGCTCTCTCCTTTGGTCGCTTGCTCATGATCAGTTGCCACAGCCCTCTGACCACCAAAATAACTCCCTCCCTCCAAATGGGGGATCTAGTTTATCTGAAAAGTACAGCCACACCCAGCCACCTGCAGGAAAAGTGGAGAGGCCCATTTAAGGTCGTCCTCACCACACCCACGGCTGCTAAGCTAGCAGGACTTCCCTCCTGGGTACATGTTCAAAATCTAAAATTGGCAGCCCCACAAAAGACCTACCAATCTCTTCTTACAGGACCAACAAAAATAAAGCTCTCCTGCCTCCCCAAGATCCCAGAAGACAGAGACACACTCAAGGAGACTCCAGGGCATAGGCAGGAGCCCTATGCCTGGGGACCTGGCATCTCGTCTACTCACTCTTTATACCTCCCCCTCCCATTCTTTCCTGTCAGTTCCTGCCCACGCTTTTACTCTTTCCTATACACACTATACTCTGAGGTTTTAGAATTCCCACCCCCCAGTATAATCAGCCTCCCTCCTTTTTCATACCTTCATCTCCCTTACTTCATAGATTGGATAGCCTACCTACCTCTCCAAGGTACTCGCTCAGACTTTACTCCTGAAGAAATCTACTCATTTTCCAACATACTCTTCGCTTTACTGTAAACCACTCCACCTATGCTTCCACTCCATCCCTTCCTGTGGGTAATTCTTGTCCTTGTCCCTTCCCTCCTGAGTATTGGCCTGTGGGTAACTTCTCCCCCTGAGTGGAGATGGCCCCATCGCACAGCTCTCTGTTTTGGATACCTCGCCCTGTGCGCCTTACTCTTTGTGCTCTCTTCTTTCTTATGACCTGTACCCTTGTGAGCCCCAAACTTCCCCCCTGCCCGTGCACCTTATTCATACCAGCACGGGGCTTGCTACGATACAGCTACTCCATGTACAATGTGGGGCAAACCGCACTGGACTGCAAGGAGTAAAGGCAGCAACGCGGGCTGTACTTGCTTTGGAAATCGTGGGCAACAAGTGTGCTGGACTGAGCTCACACATTATGGTATGTCTGACGGAGAAGGAGTCCAGGATCAGGCATACAAGAAGGTCCTCCGCAGCCAGGTACCTCAGGTTCTTGACAACCTATTCTTTCCCACCAGAAAGCCTCTCAAAATTCCTTTACAAACACTGTCTCTTTCTGAAACCCTTCTCCTCCAGGTCATAAATACCACTCATCAATTACTCAACCACACCAATCCTACTCTAGCCCGTGTTGTTGGATGTGTCAGTGAACTGGCCCTTCTCAGGTCATCGCCAGCCCCATAAATATTTCCACACCTCTTACCTTAAACTGTTCCTTCACCAAAAGGCCCACCGCCTCCACCCTTTCCCCAGTTCCCCTCTTCCAGCCAGCCCCTCTCTGTCTACAGAGTTCCTCAGGGATAGTCGAGGTAGGTTCCTTGGTGACAAAAAAATGTCACACTACTAGGGCGGCCAACAAAACCGGGAACAATATCTGTTGCCCCCTCATTCCTGGGACTCTCTTTCTATGCGGTCAGAGTGTATACCCCTGTTTACCCCCAGCCTGGAAGGGCATCTGCACTCTGGTATTTTTGGTCCCTGACATGGACATTATTACAGAAGATCAGGACCTACCCATCCCCCTCACCACGCATCTTCGATCAAAACGGGCAATCCAGGCTATTCCCTTGTTAGCCACCCTGGGAATAACGGCTGCCATGGGAACGGGGGCTGCGGAAATAGGAACTTCTATCCGCTACTACACAAAACTCTCTAATGGATTGATAAGTGATCTTCAAACGGTAGCCGAATCTATCCTAACCCTACAAAAACAACTTGACTCTCTAGCCTCAGTTGTACTCCAAAACCGACGAGGCCTTGACCTGCTCACTGCAGAAAAGGGTGGTCTCTGCCTATTTTTACAAGAGGAGTGCTGCTTCTGTGTTAACCAGTCGGGAGTAGTAAAAATAAAACTAGGCAACTCCAAGAACAACTAGAAAAACGGAGAAGGGAACTGGAGGACTCTGGGAATCCTCGAGAGAATAACATTTCACAGTGGTTCTCCTGGCCGATGCCCACCTAATGCCTGTGTTTCTTGCTCTCCTGTTCTTAAACTTCCTCCCTTGTATCATAAGAACAATGCAAGGATTTCTTTTAGACCGTATGTCTGCTATTGCTAACCAAAAATTTAACCAGTTGTACCTCCAGGGACACCAACCTCTCCAAAACCACCCAGAAAACTACTGTGACGGCCCCATCCAGGACACCACAGGAGCCTGAGGATCCCGCCCCACACAACACCCTCTGCCAGCAGGAAGCAGTTAAAGAGATTGATGCTTCACCCCAATTCCTGATCCTCAGCCCCTATCTTCATTATTATTAAAGAAAAATGGGGGAATGATAGAACAATAATGCCGTCATTTTGTAGATCAGCGGCACCTCATGGAAAATGGAGCCATTCCCTCCCCTTAACAAGGTTTCCCGTGCTCCCAAAAACAAGCTCCACTCAAGCTCCACCTCCATCAGGGACCCCTGGCGTATGCGCCAACCCCTTACCCTCCCTCTCCTACAGAAGGCCATGCCTGGCCTGAACCCCTTCCCTTTTGTCCTTTCCTCTTCCTGCACTACCCCGCACCTGCCATTAAACCCTGCCCTTGGACGTGAGTTTTCTCGTGCGTTTTCTTTGTGTGGCGTTTTTCTAACAGCTATCGCTTTCAAGTTCTTAGCAGGTTTTTTAGGCATGTTGGGAGGTCACAGATCATCAGTTATTCAAACATGCATTAACATGGGAAATAATGAAAAAGATTCACACTTAAATACTCTTAATATTCAGTATAAATTCAAGCCAATCTATCTATCCCTCAGTATTAGTTATGGATTGAAAGGTTCAACTGCTTGACTTCCAACAAAATATTCACAGACTATGTTATCCCAAATACCCAGAATATCCACCTTTGAATTTAGCAAAGAAGGTGGAGAATAAAAGACATTTAAAAACACTGAATCAACTTCCTAGATTGCTTGCAAATTTGTGCAGGCTTTTAATAGCAAATGCAACTGGCCAAGCCAGGAGTGTAAGAATGAACGGGGCTGTCTTGGACAGCCTGCCTCTGAGCTCTGGGAACACAGGTGTGCAGATGGTTCAATAAGCCCTGTCAGTCACTGCTGTTTTGTAGGAGACTGAGGAATATCTTATTGCCCGCCCCCCCCCCAACTACTACTATTGCAGCAGGGAGAAGGACCAGAGGAGAAACAGGCCTGTGTTCTAACAGAGTAGCGGTGTGGGGGGTGGGGTGTGTTTTGGGGGGAAGGGATAGCATAGCAGAGAGGTAAAACCTAAAGAAACCAAATGTGAGGAAGGTCTCATAGCAGTAGGGGTAGAAGGGCACTAGCACGCGGGTGAAGTAATTGCATATAACCATATATGGATTAGACCTTGCTTTTTGCCTCTGTGACCTGCTTGCAAGGGTACATAAGGTGAGACCCCTTTCTTCTCAGGGCTCGGCCTTTGGACACGAGTCTGCTGAGTCTTGTCAGCACAGTAAAGCGTTCCTTCCTTGCCTCCCCTCCAGGTGAGTTCCATGTCTCTGTTTCCTATAACACAGTGATTGAAGTCACACATGTCTCTGATCTGAGCTGGGGGGTTAGATTGTCCCAATGTGTGTGTGTGTGTGTGTGTGTGTGTGTGTGTGCATGTGTACTGGGGATGGAACCCAGGGCCTCACCACTGAACTCCACCCCTCAGCCACATATACTGAATGCAGCTATTGTTGGAGACTGATATTAGTTTAGAACTTGTAAAGAAAGTTGGTCGTTTTTAAGTTACATACTTGGGGAACAATGTGTGACATAAAAGACAATTTCTTGCCTTCATAACTCATAAATTGAGATGATGTGAGCTCCTGATGGCTTCAACAGTCTGTGGTCCTGGATCCCCCTTCCACCCCACTGCAGCCAGAGTATCAGGGAGGGTGCCAAATCAGCAAGCTCCTGGGGCTTGGCACTCCACAGAGCACTGTGGTCCTGCTCTGTGAACTGTAGTGTTGTTAGCAGGGCTCTTTATCACCTTGACTTAACAACTTCACGTGTCCATCACTTCATGTGTACAGCAATTGGAGCTGTATTACTGGATCTCATGTGTGTGCCTCTGTGTTCGGGGGGGGGGATGAAGCTGGATGGCTGGGGAGGGAGCGTGTTTGGGAAGGGATAACGAATCATTAGTATAGGGGATGATTTTTTTCTTTCTTTTTTGTTGCCCAGGCTGGCTTTGAACTGGGGATCCTGCATTCAGCCTCTCTAATACCTGGGATTATAATATGCACCACTGCCCCGGGCTAGGTTGATGTTTTGTCATCCTGAATGACACCAGTGCGTACATTTTCCTTTTGTGTTTGGCATTGTGGGCTCCCATTAAGACTTTTCACCTGAGGACACGGGTTTATGGGTTTAAGGCTGTCACTTATGTACCCAGCTCTCCTTCCTTTAAGTCTTGTCGGGGAGGGCCACTTTTCTGTTTGCTTTGCCCCCCTTTCTGTGCCTGAGGGTCCAGGATGTCAGCCTTCTCTCTCCCTCCCAGATATTTTTATTTGTTGGCATATAATTGTTGTTTGGAGGATGTTTACATATGTGCTTACAATGTATCATCGATAGATTTACCCTGTCCAGTGTTCTTGCTCCTCCCCTCCCCTTTCTTGAAACAATTTCTGCAGTTTCCTTCTATTTTCATAAATGAATACACGATATATCCAGTGTGTTCACCCTTACTCACCCTTTCCTTGTGCCCTCCCTCCCATTGGTACCCAGCCGCAGAAAAGACTTGTTTTTCCCTTCTGCCCTTTCTTTTTTTAAAATAAGTATATATTGATAGTTCAAGGGGGTTTTGCCATGGCATTTCAGCCATGTATGTATCATGCTTTAATCAGATAATCCCCCCATTTACTCTTTCTCCGTCACCCTGCTCCCCTATTATTCAACAGCTTACAGTTACATTATTATATTCGTATATGGATGGGCTTTTTCAATATTTTTCATTTCTAACATTCTCTTCCCTCTCCCCAGGATTTTATTAAGCTTGGAACTTGGGGTCCCTCGTGTAGAAAATGAAATTGCCCTATTCCCTACTGCTTTACCCAATTATGAGAATAGAGGGTTATTTAAAAATTCAAATGGTGCAGAATGGCATCAAAAAGAAGGCAAACAATCACCTGAACTTGCAATATAAGGTGACTGTACTTTTAATGTTTGGATTCCTTATGAGGACAACCTCTGCCTACTGTGTTTAAACCAGCAGGTCTGCAAGTGAACTCACATGGTGCATACTGCTGTTCTCCTCAAAACCTCGTCCCAGACATTTTCCTGTCAGTAAATATAACAATAGATAATAAAGAAGACTTTTAAGCAATATTTCAGATATACACAAAAGCAGACAACTGTAGGAGAGAAGGTGTGACTCAAATAGTACAATGCCTGCTTTGCAAACCCTGAGTTCAAACCCCAGTTCCATCAGGAAAAAAAATAAATAAAAGGAGGACTGTGCTCTTGCTCCTTGTCAGTCTGGATAACTGCATGGCAGGACAAATTTTTCATTAAATAATGACTAAATATTCTATGTGTATATCTCAAAGATAACTCTAAAAATGTCCAATCAACATTCATTGTTATTATAGGCAGTGTTCAGATTTTCCTAGTTACCTTAAATTTGTAATTATTTTTGACTCAGGCCCTAGATACTTTTTCAATTGGTGGTGGTGGTGGTGGGGAGCATATATTCAGATGCTGAATCCCTGTCCCGTAGTGATGGTGTTAGGAGGTGAGGTCTTGGGCAGGTGATTAAGATTGGAGGAGGTTGATTAAGTGGGTAGAGCCCTCATGATGGGCTAAGTGGCTTTCTATAGGATCGTTGGGAAGGAGCTGGACCTTTTTCTACCTTGGGAGGACCTCTGCAACCTCCAGCTTCAGCAGCAACCCCCGACCTCCGCATCAACCCCAGCCTCTACATCAGCCCTAGCCTCTGTATTGGGAAGCTGACTCCACCCTTCAAAACCCAAGAAGTTAATCTTCTAAGGTACCAAGCATTCTTGCTTTGTCAGAGCCAAGCATGGTAGCGTGTGGATGTGTGGGTTGGGTGCGATAGTTGGCCTTTGTGTGGCAGATCTGTGATAAACAATTGGGCTTGGCTTCTTCTTGGCAGGATTCTTGGATGTGAAGTTACCGTGTTGAGGATGAAAGACTGGGAGGAGAGGGTGGGAGCCCCCGTGGTGCCAATGGTAGGGTTTGGTAGGCCTCGTAACATTGCCAGTTCAGTAGTTGGTGGTTTTCGCTACTTTTCTTTCATCACCAATGTGGTGGGAGGTGCGATTAACCTGTTTTTGCAAGTGTGTTTTTTTATTTTTTGGTACTGTGGTTTGAACTCAGAGCCCTATGGTCTATACACTTGAGCCAGGCTAGACTCTAGCCCCATTTGTGTGTTTTGTGTATTTGCTATTAGGTGCTTTTGTGCTTTTGTTTGTGTTGCTGGGATGAACCCAGGACCTGTGTGTGCTGTGCCACGGAGCATCGCCCTCAGTCTCCTGTGTTTATCTTTTAATGATTTGTGGTTCTTAGAAAAAATAGGGTTTGAGTCTCCTTTTGGGTAAAGTTTATTTTTTAAAGATGACCTTTAGGACAGCTGTACCATCTTTGTACTTCGAATATGGATTTATTCCTTGGTCTTTAATATTTAAAAATTACTATTAATGAATTTTCCCCTTTTGTATTTTGATTATTGCTTATAAATTTATAACTTGAAAAAGCTGTAGTGAGTGATTAAAGGTACATATTATTGATCAAAAAAACAGTTGAGGACAGTTAAATTTAGCAAAGTTTACTTGAGTAAGAGGTTTTATAAGTAAGATTCTGGAGGCTGGGTTTTGGGTTGAATGCCCCACCACTTCAGCAGTTTGCCCTAATTTGGACATAATTGGGCACCCTTCAGCCTGGGATAGGCTGAGGATTTGGACGCTGTATGATGGCTGTGGCTGAGACTGAGATGGCTTGATTAACCTACCTTACTCTTGGGGTGGGCTACAACTTGCAGATGGAGCTAGGGTGCAATTTACTACAGGTGTATTGGGTCGCATTTTATCACCTGAATACTGAACACAGTTCAGGCCACATTTAACAATACAAAATGTCCACATATTAAGTATCCAGCTAATTTGCACTGCTGGGGATTGAATCTAGGGTCCAGGGAAGCCCTTTACCTCTGAGCTAAACATTCCCAGCTGATTTTTTTTTTTTTTTGATGGTACTGGGGTTTGAATTCAGGGCTCCATGCTTTTGCGCTACCACTTAACCCACGCTTCAGTCCCACGGCTGAATTAATTTTAGAAAACATACACTTGTTGATACCAAGCAGGTGATGATGTGGCCACCCAAGGCAGTGCTTTCTCTCACGGATTCTCACAAGTTCACAAGTTCAGGCCCCGTCAGCAGCTCACAGCTATCTGGTTTCCAGAATATACGACCAGCTATCCATGACATTAGTGGATACTTAATTGTCTCATGTTTTGGTAATTATGGGCGTACAAGGCTTTGAACATCTTGTGCAAATTGTTGGTGTGTATTGTGTGTTTTTCTGCTGAGTATTTACTTGGAAGGCATCCCTGTGTCCAAGCAGGGTTGTTGGTTTTAGTTGTTCCTTCTCTGTCTCTCTTGTCTCTCTCTGTGCATCTCTCTCTCTCTCCATGTCTCTCTTGTCTCTCTTTCCCTGCATGTCTCTCTCTCTCCCTCCTTCTCTTCTTCTGTGTCTCTCTGGCTATGTATGTGTCTGTGTCACCTAGAAGAACTGGGGCATTGGCACTCTTAGTTTGATTTTAGGGCGTCTTTATTTTGGACATAGTCCTGGGTGCTACAAATATGGGGAGGTCCGTCTGTGAAGTGTTTTCTCAGCCATTTTTTCCCCTCCTTGGTGCCCTGGGGGTGAACCCAGGGCTTCCCCCAACACAGTGCAGGGGCTCCACTACTGAGCCACACCCCCACCCTGTTTGCTCATTTTTTGTGGTAGCTTTTGATGAAGAGAGGTCTGTATTTTATCAGTTTTTGCCCTTATCTCTGCAACTATTGCTTCTGTCCTGCTCTCCTCTTACACATTTCATCAGCTGTTGCATGGGACACTTGCCTGTTACTGTTTCCCCTCTTCTCTGCTTTAAGCGGGATGTTTTCTTCAGCCGTGTCTAGCACACAGTCATTATACTTTTTTGTTCCTTTAGTTCCAGAGCTTTCTTTTTGGTTCTGGCTTTTCTCAATCTTTTTTTTTTTTTTAAATGGAGTTTCACTATGTTGCCTAGGCTGGCTTGGAACTCCTGGGCTCAAGCAGCCCTTCTACCTCAGCCTTCCAAGTACTTGGGGCTATGGGTGCATGCCTCTATGCCTGGCTTGAACTCTTGGGGTGGATTTTTCTTGAACATATTAGTCAGTTAATAGTTTATTAATTTTGAGGAGCATGGGGGTGGGGATTGATCCCATGGCTTTTCACACCAGGAAAGTACTCTACCACTGAGCTATACCATCAGCCCCTTTTTTTTTTTGAGATGGGGGTTGACCAGGCTGGTTCCAAACTCATGTGATCCTTTTGCCTCAGCCTCCAGAGTAGCTGGGGTTACTGCCCTTGGCTATTATGTTTAAGGTTTTCTTACAGTGATTTCATTATCCTGGTCTTTGTGGGTCTGGTTCTGTGGTCTTAGTTTTTGACTTACTACCTTCTATATTGCATATTTTTCCCTTTCCTGTTGGGGATTTTATATCAAAAGATATAAAGGAAAGTTGAGGCTTCTGGAGAGTACCCTCCTTCAGAGGACTGAGTGGATTTCCTAGCAGTTGAGCTGCAGACAGTGGTGGTATCAATGCATTAGTCTTGAGTTTCCCAAGTCTGTGCTTCTTTCTTGGTGAGCGTCCTCTCTTTTGTGTCCAGGTCTCTTAAGGTGTGGTCATTGGGAGTCCCAGCTCTTGGCCTGGCTGGGTCTGTCTCTGGAGTCCATCTACTTAGTGTGGCCAGAGTGGGTTTAACTCTGGGTTTGGTTTTCCCAACACCTATAGTCTCAGTTTAACAGCCCCTCTTTTGCTGCCATTTTGGAGTTGTTGACCTTCAATTGTGGAAGAGTATTCCTGGCTCATTTTCTTATGAGTTCTGTTCCCTCTTGGTTGTGAATCTGGCCCTTTATTCCTATTCCTTCCCTGCCACAGGAGGGCTCTGATCTCACCACACAGAGGTAAGTGCATATGTACTTACTGACTTATTTTGTAATCATTTTTGTTTTGAGCAGGGTGGATCTGAAGCTCCTTGATTGCCAGATATGGCATTGCTACCTTTCTTATTCCCACATAATTCTTTTTTCCACTTGGAATAGGTTTCTGTGATGAACCTTAGTTCCACCTCTGGTTATCTCCAGACTTGACATTATCCATCTGTATCCCATTGCTCTGTAATAGCACTAGTGAACTCTTTCCTCAAGTGGAGGCCATATTGGCCTTTGTAACACAGAGGGTCTAGAGGTGGGTGGTCACCCAGCATCTCTCAATCTCACAACTTAATGACTTGAAACTCAACATTGATCACCTCATAGATTGTCTGTTAAGAGCCTTGGTTCCCAGCCCAGTGTGCATCCCATGCTGCAGGTAGGGTGTGGCTGGCTTGTAACAGGTGGTGGTTCTGAGCTCACTTTCTTGTTCCTGGCAGGGTTGGATCACTGCAGGCTGTTGATTGGAGGCTATCCTCAGTTTCCTGACTGCCAGCCCCTCCATAGGGCCCCTCACATCATGGTGGCTGGTTTCCTTTTAAGCCAGCAAGCGAGAAGTCAGTGTCTTGATCAAATCTCACCTTTGCCAGATGTTGGTAGAAGCCAGCCAGTAGGTCAGCCTTACTTGGGAGGGGCTAGACAAGGCCATGAACTCCATGGGTGATACTGTTGGAGGTTAGAGGACTGCCCACATCATCTGGCAGTTGGACCTCTGCCAGGCACATGCTCCTTAGGTGCCAAGAGGGTTACTGGTGAGTGTAGACTGGGGTCCTAAGGTGTATTGGATATGGTGGGAACAGGAGGTCAAACAGATTTCAGGAATCATAGTTTACTGACACTTAAGTTCACAGTGCTTAAGGGGAGAGAAGAATGTGAATGAACTGTGTGGAATATACCCTATAGACAAGGTACACGAACCACATAGTGAGTGGTTTCCAAAATTATTAAGGTCTAGTTGCTCAATTTGTATTGAATTTCCATAGGCTTCTGTGGAAAGCAGTGTCACTGAAATGTGAGATGTGCCTTTTCACAAAGGAGTCTTGACCAATCTACTAAATCGACCACAATGGCAGGATCTGCAACAGGTAAGGCCCCTTGGTGCTAGACAGTGTAAGGGTGGCAAGTCTTCAGAGGACAGGGTGTGGCCCTGACACAGCTTGTGCACTCAGTGTCTGTCAGACTCTTGCATACGTGGTTTGAAGTCCAGTAGTTTGGGGTCAGTTAGGTTGAGGAAGTCTGATAAGGTGTCATGTAACAGTCTCAGAAGAAGGCAGGGTTCTCATGAGTGAGGTCAGATAAAAGAGAGGGGGGATTTACATACTCAAAAGCAGCAGTGATGTAAGTGTTGGGAAGCATTTTAGATAGGTACCTAATAGTTCACCCTGTGATTTTAAATCACTTACAATCCAAGTTTTATGTTTATAGATATTTGACTTAAAGCCAATTTAACAAGAAATATACCTAGAACTAAGCAAATGAACAAGACAGCATTCTCTTTGATATGGCACTATATGTAATCAGTAAAGACAAAACTTTACTTGTTTTTTGAGCCATTTGAGTCAGATGCCTCAACGTGACTAAACATGCTCAGTATAGAAACTAAATTCAGTTCTCATGGGAGAGGGTTAAAAACATGCTCAGTTACCATGATGCCGGAACTTCGAATGGCCATAATCGTTAGAAGAGTGTGAATTTGTTCCTTTCTCAGTGCTAGTAAATTCTGGGTGATGTTTTCTGGACAAAGTGTTCTTTTTTCCAACTTCATCTCCCTAGCTTGAGGTTTTATTGACATCTATCATTTTGATATTGGGTATTTTAATATGGAATATTTCATTTGTAACCTTGATTCCTTTCTCTTCAATCACTGTCCGTGGTAAGGTTTATGGTGATGTCCAAATTTCATGCAACTGTATAATTCAAAATCTTGGTTGTTTTTCTCTATTCCAGTGTGTATCATCAGTAGAACATTTTGAGATAGGAACCATGGTCCAGTTGCCAAGATGATGAGTGCCAGGAGGATCAGGCATTAGTGCCATAGTCAAAGGTGCTTGACCTTTGGTAAGTTCAGTGGGTCTTGGGGTTATGTAGTTGTCATGTTCCATGAAATTAATTGATGTTCTAGGATATGACATAAATCAATTACAATATGAACCTGAGCTGCCACTAAGTGATTGGATTCTTTTGTTGTTGCTGAGTATTGAACCTGGGGCTTCATGCCTGCTAGACACATGAGCTATACCCCTAATCAGTAAGTGATAGGAGCCTCATTTCACCTGCATTAGGGGATACACTAGGATATGTAGAGTCAGACAGGAGTAGAAAACAATATTCTTGTCTGATCACTGTTTGTTTAGGGTGTTCTGCACCACCCCCATAACTTGAAACTCAGGGTGTCTGACTTTCATTGCTAATGAACAGATCTACAAGGTCTTTCTCCAACTGCTTATTATTCATAGCATTTTCTCTAACAGGTATATGTTTTGCTTTTGTTTTTTTTTTTTTTTGGAGGTAGTGTCTCCCTGTGTGATGCAGGCTGGCCTAGAACTTGAGATCAAGTCCTGATTGCTGGGATTATAGGCATGTACCATCATGCCCAGCTCTCTGAACATTTTAGGAAGCATAAACAAGGCTTTCAGTTTCTTTTTCAGGATTTTGGCTGTTGTAAATCCAGTTTGAAATGACATTTGATAAAAGTTCCAGTGCCCGATGAAACTGTCATTGCATGGATATTACAGTTTCTCTGATTTTTCAAAGGTGAGATTTGGTGTTAATGTGGGGTACATTTTTTTAATGAACTCAGAGTTTCACTGAAGACTGGCTATTGTGTGTGATGGAACTGTTTTGAGTATTGACATTTGTGCTGCTATCAGCAGTGTCTCCTGGCTCATGATTGCCATGTATCAGAATAGTCTTGTTCTAATGTGGGCCAAGCATGCAGTTACTGCCTCATGGCTGTGTTCTTTAGAGGAAAGATGCCATTCACGTTATCTGTTACCAAGTTCAGATGTGATGGAAGGAGCACTCATTGTTTCCAAAAGGTAGAAGATATTTAAAGAGCTTCCTCTTGTAGTCAAACATTGTTTCACAGCACCAAAGAATCCTCAGGGTGTTCCATACAGTCTCATGTTAATTGAATAATTGGGATATGGTCTGAGAAATGCATCAGTAGCCATCGTGTCCCTTTGTAAATATTACAGCATACTCCCAAAGACTAGAGGGGCTGTGACATCACAGTGTCACAGAATCGGATGACATCATCATCGTGTATGCTAGTCATTGATTGCAACATGCAGTGCACGACTCTAGGCAGAGTATTATTTTCACCAGTGAGGTGAGAGATTCTTCAAGGCATTGGTTTCACACTCTTACAGCAGGAGGAGTTACAGTGATGCAGGCACAGGGCTTTGGATAATGGCACAAAACTTGCTTCAATTACAGTAAGGTTAAGAAGAGGCTTCCCTGTGGAATCCGACTAATGTGGTTGAACTCTGCCTGGTCAAGAGCTGAGATTAAATATTTGCCTTATGCTTTAGCAGTGAGGCCAAGGGGCTAGAACAATAGGAATAGTAGAAACCGTGCTGCTCTCGTCAGGACCAGTGAAGCTGAGTTTCTAGTAGTGTAATTAACTTTCAATAGCAATAGAAAACTGCTCCAGGTACCATTTTGTAGATATGCATTTTTGGCAATGTGTAGGAATTCCTCCAGGATGCAGTGTGGCTCTTGGGCATCTGAGCAAAAGCAGCAAGTTCATGCTGCTGCATGACATGTAGCTGAGTTGGTTGTACCCCTTCTGCATAAAGGATTCAGCTATTACATAGCATACAGAAAATCAGGATGAAATTCATGGTTGTCTTGAATAGTTAGCATCCAAAGTTGTGCATCTCAACAAAGCCAAATTTCAGAAAAGTTGTATTGGACAGTACCTGGTAATTGTAGGTGAACAGCAGTAGGTTTCCCTAGGAGAGGATGGAAATGAATTGTAGCTTACATTCCCTGTCCTTTTTCAGATGGGGGGAACCTCTGCTGATTGAGTGGGTTCCTCAGGTTCTGGAGGACTATACATCTTATATAAGAAAGGTTTCCTATCATCGCAGAGTTGGTTGTATGCAGTCCAAAGAGGACAGATGGCACTGTTGTAGTCTCTCCGAAGTGTAACCTCCCACTCCACAAAGAGTAGCACTAAAATGTCACAGCAGCTCTCAGCATTGGTACATATTTAAAATTCTCGATTTCTCTGTTTATGCTGATGCTATGAAAAGCAAGTCCAAAATACTTACTGGTAGAATATATTTATTGGTAGAATTTGTAATTGCAGCAAATGCACCAATACTGGTTTCCTTAAATGGGAAAAGGAGTCGTTGACTTCCAAGGTGTTTCGATAATAATTTTCAAAGATGAGAGTGGCTTGCTTGCTGTGTATCTGTGAACACAGTATATTTAAGTCTTTAATTGGCATAAGAAGTCTTTTCCTTTGGTCACCCAATGAATTTTATTACTAGGAGGGGCATATTAATTTCACCTGTCAAGTATGTGGGTTTTCTTTTTTTTTCCCCCCTAGTACTGGCGTTTGAACTCTGGGCCTAGCCCTTCCTAGGCAGGTGCTCTACCACTTGGAGCCACTCCACCAGCTTAAGTAGGTTTTAGGTTTTGAACTGAAGATTTCTCAGGTGTTTTATGATGCTTGCTGTGGTAGTGATGTTTCTAAGGAGGATAGCCATGGGGCCCATGCTAGCAGGGTTGTGTTTTGCCAGCCCTGGAAGTATTCGGTAGAGCCAGAGGCAGTAGTATCAGAAGGAACGTGAACTTTGTAAGGAATAGCTTGTCCACTAGCCAGTAATTGTATGTTCTCTGGGAAGCGAGTACCGTGACGGACTGGAGTATTCTTGGGCCTGTGTAACACGCCACAGCTAGTGTTTTAATGGCAGCTTCTGGCCATTTTTCTTGCAAGCATATGGCAATCCTAGTCCTGACCAACGGGGGGCATATGTGAGCCGTGTTCCTGGGTAAAGGAAGAGTAGCTTACAATCTTAGTCGAAATGTAGAATCTGAAACGATCTGACCACCTTGTGTTTAGCAGAGTAGGTAGAGATTTCTAGGCTTTAAATTGTCTGTCGCTTGTATATCTTTTGATGTTGTATGGATCTGAAGTAGAAGGAACTTTCCAACCATACCTTGTACCATGGATACGGGCCTTCAAGTCCTCATGCTCCCAGTCTGTCTGCTGGCACTTTCAGTGTCCTGACTGGTGATGTGATCCATGAACGAGAGTATTGGTTAATTGTGTTTCTGGATTGGCTCATTGGATTTCCTTTTGAATTGGTCTGCTCTGTTATTATATTTAGTTATAGGAGAAATCTGTTTGATGTTCTGAGACATGGGTGATAACAAATTTTAATTTCCTACTGAATCTTTCCCCTACATATCTTTTTTTGAGACCAGGTCTCACTATGTAACCCAGGCTGGCCTCGAACTCTCCAGCCTCAGCTCCCAAGTGCTGGGATTACAGGCATGCAACACCATGCCTGTCTGCAAACTCTTTACTTGGACACAGTGGATAATGACTTTATGAAACCGAGGCAATAATTCATGCCTCGATTCCTGATGTGTAGAGTTGTGGCAGTGGGAATTATGGACTTACTAAGTGTACCTGTAAATATTCTCACATGAGACTGGCTGTAGTGCCTATTCAGTGACATTTTATGTCTAGATTCCACTTTTCAGTGAAAACATTTTGCTTTGGCTAATTTGTTCAAAATGATGACCTCCAGTTCCACCTACTTTTCTGCAAATGACAAAATTTTGTTATGCTTTATGGCTGAGTAATACTCCATTGTATTCATGTAGCACATTTTCTTTATTCATTCATTCGTTGTGAGGTACCTAGGCTGATTCTACCACTTGGTTTTGAGAACAGTACTTCTATGACATGGGTGCCCCAGGATCTCTCTTGCTCGTTGACTTACGCTCCTTCAAGACCCAAGCATGGAACGATGGGGTAATAAGTAAGGTGGATGTGTTTTTAGTTTTTGAGGACCCTCCACACTGACTTGTGCAGGGGCTGCTCTAGTTCACATTCCCACCCACAGTCAAATGTTCCTTTTCCCCACATGCTGGCCAGTATTTGTTGTTTTCTTGATGATAGCCATTCTTACTGGGGTGAGATGGAATCACAGTGTGGTTTTGGTCTGCATTACTTTTTGACTAAAGATGTTGAACTTCCCTTGTCATTATTAGCCATTTGTACTTCTGAGAACTACTCATATTCTTTCCGTATTTAATTTTTTGAGGTCTTTGTGTATTCTGGGTATTGATCCTTTGTCTGATGAATAACTGGCAAACGTTTTCTCCCATTCTGTGGAATGTCTCCTGTTTCTGGTAATTGTTTCCTTTGCTGTGTAGAAGCCTTTTAATTTAATGCAGTCCCATTTGTCTGTTTTTGCTCTTAATTCCTGGGTAGTTGCAGTCCTATTCAGAAAATACTTGCCTATGGCTATATCTTCCAGAGTTTTCTGTTTTCCTATAGTACTTTCAAAGTTTCAGGTCTTACATTAAGATTTTCGATCAATTTTAATTGATTTTTTTGTACAGGGTGAGAGCTAGGGGTCTAATTTCAGTGTTCTGCAAATAACCAGATTCCAGAACCATTTGTTGAGGCTGTCTTTTCCCCAAGGTAGGTTTTTAACACCTCAAAAATCAGACAGGTGTAACTGGGTTTACTTCTGTGTCTTCTGTTCCACTGGTCTTTGTGTCTGCTGTTTTTGTTATGGTGGCTCTGTACTATAATTAGAAGTCTGGTGTTAAGATCCCACTGTTGGCTGTTTTACCCAGGATTCTGTTTGCTACATGGGGTATTTTACATTTCTGTATGTATTCTAGGATTGATTTTTTTTCTAATTCTGTGAAAAATGACATTGGACTTTTGATGGGAACTGCATTGAATCTGAGGATCGCTTTCGATAGTATAACTATTTTCACAATATTAATTCTGCCAATCCATGAACATAGGAGGTCTTTCCTCTGGCACCTTCTTCGATTTCTTCAAGGTTTCATGATTTTCATTGTAGAGGTCTTTCGCTTCCCTAGTTATGTGTACTCCTAGTATTTTACTATTTTTCGAGGCTATGTGAATGGAATTTTTTCTGATTTCTTTCTCAGCCTGTTTATTGCTGGTACAAAAAAGAGCTAAGGATTTTTATGTTAATTTTATGTCCTGCTACATTGCCAAAAGTGTTTATCAGATCTAGACATATTTTGGTGGAATGTTTAGGGTGTTTTAATTAAGTATAGGATCATACTATCTCCCAATAGAAAAATTTGACTTCTTCTTTCCCTATTTGAATCTGTCTTATTTTTCTCGTTTTACTGCTCTGGCTAGGAATTCCAGTGCTATATTAAAAAAGAGTAGGAAAAGTGGACACCCTTGTCTCATTCCTGACTTTTGAAGAAAACTTTTAGTTTTCCCTATTTAGCATTATGTTAACTATAGGTTTGTCATACATAGTCTTTATTATGTTGAGGTATATTCCTTCTATTCCTAGTTTTATCAGAGCTTTTATCATGAAAGGATGTTGAATTTTGTGATAGGTCTTTTCTGTATCTGTTGAGATAATTCTGTGTTTTTTGTGCTTTTTTTTTCAGTTTATATGTTTATAATGCATTTAGTTGCATATGTTGAACCATCCTTGTATTGCTAGAATGAAACCAACTTGATCATGATCTTTTGCAAGTATGTTATGATTTGTAAGTATTTTATTGAGAATTTTTGCATCTGTATTCAAAGATGAAACCCAGGCAGATGTGTATAGTCCATCACCCCATGCACAGAGTTCTGAAGAGGATCTGGCTCTGGGAGGGAGTTGGTCCCATCTTCAAGCAGGAACAGGAGGAGTCGCTCCATCTTTACTGCTCTGTTTGGGCTCCTTGGGAATGAAGTGGAGATTAAGAATGAGTGGTTCTTTGTAAAGGTGGACACACTGAGAAATGGATGACATGTGTTAGGTTTTGGACTGGGGAACAACTCACTAAACCTAACCTAAACCCACAGAGTGGGGTGAATCAATTGTTCCCAAGTCGGAATGGAATCAGTAAGATAGTGATTTTCAGGGACGCCTAGGATAATTTCCTGCTACTGAGTTGCTTCAACGTTGTGAAGCAATGAGGTCTTTATTAGACTATTAAATTTTCTTTTGGGGTTAGCTTCCAGGAAAGAGGATGGAGTTTCCAGAATATGATTTTGAGAAGGCAAAGCTGGACTATTCTTAGGGTCAGGGTGATACAGTTCTTACAGGTGGCAATGCCAGTGAGTTTTCCAGATGGAATATAAACTGGATTCTGTGGGATTCAAGAAATCTCTGAAAAACTGGAATCTGTGATTTAACTTGGTTGATGAAAAGAAGCTACATAAAGCTTAATCATAATTAAGAGAAAACCCCTGAATTGATAATTGTCAATTCCTAGGAATTGACAGTTCCTAAAATGACAACAGACATTATTGTCCCAAATGGTTTCGGGGTCAGGATTAGGGAGTGGTGTGGTTGAGAGCTTCTGTCCTGTGATATCATGAATTACACTCAAATCTGCAGTCATCTAAAGGCTTATCAGTGAGTCTTCTTGCAGGGCCCCTCTCCCACTCGACTGGGCAGGGGCTTCAGTTCCTCAGCACAAGGGCGTCTTCACAGGTCTACTTGAATGTCCTCACCACATGGCCACCAGCTTTCCTCAGGGAAAGCAATACAAGAGAACAAAGAATGCCTGGCTTCAGAAGTCATCTTCTGTATGGATTAACAGGAAGTGAATTCACTTAAAGGAGAATGACAGACAAGACAATCAGGATGCAGGAGTTTGTCTTAGTTTGAAGGCGCACCAATAACAAAAATACTAGTTTTTACTAAAAATACATGGTATAAGAACAAATTCATTTTCTCAGTTCTAGAAGCTAAAAGTTAAAATCAAGGCAACATGGGTTCAGTGTCTAATGAGTCTGAATCCTGATTCATAGATGGTGTCTTCTCAGCACCTCTCTCCACCTGTCGTAGAAGGGACAGGAAGTTCTCTGGAGCTAATACCATTTGTGAGTACTCCACCTTCATGAACTGATTACCTCACAGAGACCCTATCAAATACCATCACCGAGGGGGGTGCCATTTTAACATTAGAGGTGGGGCATAAACATTTCGACCATAGCAGATCCCTCCTGGGGGGCTGTTTTTTCTCAACCACATCTATGGAAGTGCCTGCTCAGGTATACCTTTCAAGGTGAGGTCTCAATAAGAAAAGGTGGTCATCCTCCAGTGTTGGCTTGTAACTTTGTGCTACTGTTCTTCAGAGTAGCTGTGAACAAAAGAAATCTGGGTGGTATTTTTGTATTCAAATTCACTTGATGGAAAGGAGAGCTTACATTTCCATTGTGATTTCAGACACATTGTGTTATTTTCTGTGCTTGTAAAACTGTGAGTAAGGTACTTTAGGTCATATTTCCTGTCTTCTATGTCTCCGGTTCCTCCTTGAAAGTTAAGGCTGAGATAGCCAGTTGTATATTAGCTCTGGAGAGAGTATCTTGCTTTACAGTCTGTACCACCTAGAAATCACTGGGAGCCAGAGGCTCCCAGTGGAGGGCGAGTTTGCTCTGGAGATGTTTGTCATGACTCGAGGGTGATACTGACACCCAGTGGGTAGAAGCCAGGGGTGTTATCTAATCACCTCAATGAGGAGCAGTGTCCCCAGCAGAGTAATCCAGACCAATGTTAGTAGCTGGTGTTGCTGAAAAAGCCAGCTCTGATGTGGACTTTATCCTCTCTCCTGCTAGGACATGTTAAGGAAGGGTGAAATCCCAGAAGATGCAGCCAGGACTGGCTTCTTCATCCTTCCTCAGACTTCAGGTAAGGTTGCTGGCCAGTTACCTCTGGGCAGCTGCTGTGAGAATCATGTGACTGAAATGAGGAAGGAGCACTTTCCAGAAGGAAGGGGGGCTGTTCTTGAAACCAAGCTCTGGGGGTATCTCTAAAGGAAAAGCCTTGAATCTTGCCTCCTGCAGTAGTGGGGAATGTGGTCTCTGAGACTGGGTTTCTTGGTATTGGATTGCCGTGTTCAAGTTGACATATAACCAGAGCCAAGAACTCTGAGAGGCAACCTACCCTGCAGCTGGAATGCACAACTCTGGGCATTGGGGAAAGAGGAAAGACCACAGTTGGACAGGGAAGGTGTGCAGCTGGACCATGTAAGTAAATGTGAGCATTGGGAGGAGGAAAGGCTGCAGACCCTGTACTGAAGCCAGGGGTTTCCACTGGGCGGTGAGTGATGATTCTTTTTTTGCGGTGCCTGTTGGTAAGTATCAGAAAGAGATTTCTGTGATGAGGATGAAGTGTGATATATAAGCGCAGTTGGCATTACTGCTCTCCTTGCTTTGTGCTGTTGGAGCGTGTGGAGCGGGACTTGCCATGGTGACAGGACTCATCAAGGGGCATTAAACATATGTCTTGGTGGTCATATTCTAGAGGATTGCTTCTACTTGCACCTGCATTCCCAACCGTGCACCTTTTTACAGTGTCACCACATCAGCTGTAGAGGTGAAGGACTGTAACGAGGAAAGCCAATAGCAAAAGAATCTCAGAGCACCCTTTCTATGGGCAACCATTGGGAAGAGCTAGGAGCACCGACGGTCTGCAGAGGACATGGGACCAGACACTGTTGAGCATAACACCAAGCAAGCGTGAAGGAGGTTGTCCTCCCATAGCTGCTGCTTGCTCAGTTAAGGGTGAGTTCATTCCAAATGTCCTGTTAGACTAGACATTTGACTGTTAGACACATGACAATGACAACACCAGAAGAGTACTATCAGGAAGTAGTGATCATGCCATGTACTGTACGACCCTTCACTGTTAGCATATCCATGTGAACTTGAGAAAGCTTAGGATTTAGAACATTACGTCCTTAACATCTCTAATCACTGAAACTAGGACTCGGGTTTGGCCCAGACCTGGCCAAGGTCAACCTGTAGTCAATATCCACCTGACCTTACTATGCTGGCCATTGTGACCTGGCAATAAGCACTAAGCCTTTCCCAACTAACCTTAAACCTGTGGCCCTACTTACCCACCTGTCCTCGCCCTCCAAGCCTAACTCAACTGTCTTACTCACCTACCTTTACTAGACTGGCTTTTCCAAACTATGTTATGTTAAGCTGCTTACTCACCTGGTCATGTTCTCCTTACCATCTGGTATGGTATTGAGTCCTAGGTGTAAACTTCTCAGCCTTACCAACCTGCTACACTCGAATGGCCTTACTCATCTACATCATTTTTATAAAGCTCCTGTTCTTAATTTCTTGGCCTCAACATCATGACCTTTCTCCATGGCTAGAGCTCCCTTATAACTACCTGTACCTACCTGGGTGTGTCCACCCGGCCTCGTTCACATGGCCTGGCCCACATGGGATATCCATCAAGCATTACCAACTTTGCTTCAACCTCTTGTGTTATTTAAGACTTCTCACTTATCACCCTGGACAGAGTTTCCTTACCTGTTTCCCTTTCCCTTTGTGATACCCTTTCCCCATTGACTTTACCGACCCAGTCATACCGTTATCCACCTTTTGTACAGACCAGGTCACGACCCCATGGTCTTACGTCCCTTTCTATCTAACCATACATAACTGGCGTTATTCACCTGGCCACGTCATCTGATGAGAAAATCTGGGTTTTCATTTGTTAACCATATCAACCTCACATAAGCACATTGTCTAGTGTTAATCTATTGGTCTTAGCCTTACAGCCAAACCCTTCAGACTAGTACCCCTGGTCAGACATTCTGACCTTTACAACTGCCCCCTGAACCTAAAGAACTCTTGGCTTTACTCGGGTGGTTTTAACTATCCTGGCTTTGCCTACCTACCTTATTCACCTGGCCTTACCCACCCTGGCCGTTACCCATGACTAAGTAGCCTGGTCATACATACCAGGCATTACCTTCTATCCAGACATATATGACCTTATATTTATAACATTTGCCCTCATCTTGCACACCTGAACTTGCTAACTCAACAGTTAGTTATTCCCCCATACTCTTGTCCCTCACCCTAGACCTTGGCCTCAGGCATGCCCTACCAGGCTTTGCCCACCTGACATTTGCCTTCTAGCCTTAACATCCAGGCCTCAAGCTCTCAAAAAATTCCATGGTTTTATTGGACTGGCCTTGCTCATCTGATAATAACGTCCAGGTCTTAATCTGCTATGCCTACAAACCTGTCACACACCCAGCATGATTCGACCCCGCTGGCCTGGATCACTTCACTGTATTATGTTTACCCCCAGCATAGAACCTCCTGGACAGAACCCCTGGCAAGACCCAATTGCCTGTATACACTAAAAAATTCCAAAAGCCATATTCATCTGGTCTTGTCCAACTGGCGCTGCTGATGGGAATTGATGATCTCATAGCCTAAACTATGTTGTGTTAACCTTTTTCAAAATACATACTTCTCACACCAGACCTTGCTACTCTGGCCTTGAGCCCCTGGCTCTATCCCACTTGGCTTACCCATTTGGCATTAGAAGCCAACCTAACAACCCCACCAAACACTGGGCCTCCCTATAGCCTCCCAGCCTTACCCTTTGTCTCTGACCATGTGTAATAACCTTCCTATTAGCTACCTTAATTAATTAACCTAGGATCCCACTTGACTGTCAACCCCTAGGTTTAAATTTCCGGCATAATCTCAAGGCTTTACCATCTTGGATTTACTCCTGGCCATTCCTTATCCCATACCCTATAGACCCTTAAATGTTCTCCAAAACACATGCTCATTTCCCTTGGCCTTGTCCACGTCCACCAGCTCTTGCCAAAGTGGTCTTAAATGACTTACTAGACTTAGTCACTGGGTCATAACCATTTTTGTTATGCCCACATGTGGTTTCATACCTAGCATAGCTTTCTAGGCCTACTGGGCCAGGTCTTGATGTCCTGGCCTCATCTGTTCTTGTACACAACCTCACACAAGCTACAGAAAGACCATGGGCCATCTGGCTTGTACATTTGGTTATAGCCTGCTACAACCCCAGGTTTATTAACCTATCATCACACATTCTTAGTCACGTAGACATATTAACATATTAACTTGGAGCCTTTATCCATGGCTTCAGTATCTGGTTGTATCCCGTGGGCCTAACTCTCATGTCCACCCCCTTACCCCATAGCATACTCCATGTCTTGCCTGAACCTCAAGACCATTCCACTGCTGGACTTAGTGCACTTGGTCTTGTCTACTGGTCTTAATGACCTGGAATACTCCTTTTGGTTATGCCCATGTAGCATTTCATACATAGTTTGCCCCCACTTGACCTTACGCACCTTGCCTTGTACCCTATTTCATATCCGTTTGACCTGACCCATCACACCTCTATAACCAAGACTCATTCATCTGGCATGTCCCCCTGGCACCACACCTGTAATATCTAATACTTTGCCTTAACCTCCTAGGAGGAGACGTCTAGATCCACATGTTCTTACCCACTTTGATCTACTAAGCCCCTTTTTCTTTTGCCCCCACCCTATTGGCTTTACCCAGTTCATAGAGCACCCTACCCAGACCTGTTAACCAAACTCATTTGTCCTTAACTCCTTGAAAAAAATCCCCCACATCCACCCCCATGGCCTTGCCAAGCTGCCATGTCCCCCACTGTTCTGAAAGACTTACTTGCCTTAGTCACCAAGTCTTAATCCTTTTGGTTATACACACATGCCATTTCAAACCTGGTCATTCATTGACCCTTCTCCCACCACCTCACCAGCTTGCCTTGATTCCCATGCCTTATCAATTTGCTTGACATACTACCTCCATCCCCTGCCCAAACTGTACCCAGCACTGGTAACTATCAGGCCTCATCCTTGTGATGCTAACATGTTTTCCTTACTTAGCCTCCTAGGTGTAGTCACCTAGATCCAATATGGGCTTTCACTCAGGTTTAGTAAACACCTGGCCTTTATCTTTTAACTTTACACATTGTCCAGATTCCATGCCCAGACCCCACTGCCCAAATCCTCTCCCTTTTAACTTCAGCCAGTCCCCCACTCACCCTCGTGGCCATGCCCCAGTGGTCTCAATAACCTCCTGGCCTTAGTTACCAGGGTGTAATTCTTTCTATGCCCTCGTGACACAAGGCTACTATGCCCAGAGCATCTGGCTTTGGCCCCCTCTTAGCTGACCCAACTATCCACTGGTCTTGTCTCCAGGTGTTGAGACCTTATGCATGTCTCACTTAGTCTTACCACATGGTCTTATGCAAAAGTCCTGGGCCCCACATCCTCCTGGTCCCTTGTCCCTGTGTGAATAACATGTTGCTTACATGCTTCTAGACTGGTTGACCTGGTGTCCAATGTAGACATACCCATTTAGCTTTCATATTATGGCCTCAATTTCCTGGTTGTGTTCTCTGGCACTAGCCCTCTGCCTAATCCCCAATAGCTAGGTCACTTGTCTGAATACTGAAGCCACTTCGTCCCCAGCCTTGCATACCCACCTTTGCCCACTGGCTTTAATGACTTCTGTACTTACTTGCTAGCTTGTAATACCTGTAGGGTTAAGCCCACCTGGTATTTCAGAGCTTTTCCATGGGCTTACCTGCCTTGCCTTGTTCTCTCACCATACCTTTTCTATTTGGCCTGACACACCATACCCTCTCAGAACAAGGTGTGCCCCTCATGGGTAATAAACAGACACTATTCCTGCAATCTCTACTCCTTTCTTTAACTTCTTAGGTAAATTCACCTATATCCAACATTGTTTTAGAATATTACACTTACTAAATACCTGGCCTTGATCTCTTGGCATCACCTTATTGACTTTACTTCTCAGGGCCCCTGTCCTGACCCCACTGACCAAAACCACTTGCCCTTACTCTGCCCAGTCCCCCAAATCTACCCCCATGGATTGAGCCACCTGGCCAGGCCCCTCCCCAATCTCCCTGAACCTGGCCTTAGTCACAAATCTTTTAATACATTGGTTATGCCCACCTGCCATTTGAGACCTGGTCTGTTCCCTACCTCCCAGCCTTATATACCTTTAGCATATATCTTTGGCCTGACCTACCACATGCCCTCAGTCTGAGCCTACTGCATTCTGCAAAACCCTCAGACCCTAGCCCTGTGATGTTAACCCCTTTGCCTAATGACCTAAGTAGAGTTAACTAGATCCAACATGGCTATACACCCTTAGATCAAACACCTGGCATTTGGTGAAGCCTGGCCTTAGAGTCTTGGCTCTACTCATTTCCCAGAACCCTCTACCAAGATGCAGTGAACCAACCCACTTGTCCACTCCCTCACATCCACTCCCATGGTTTTGCCTACCTGGCCACACTGGTCTCAATGACCTTGACTTGGTCAACATTTCTAACCCTTATGCCCACATGACAGCTGGACTTGATGTGCCAAGCACCTGGATTTTGTCCCATCCCAACTGATTCTACCATCCACTGGCCTGTAAAAAGGTCAGGTCTTGACCTTTTGCCGTATTTACCTAGTTTTACTTACTTTCCCTTATGTAAACTCCTTGGCCCCACATCCTCCTGGCCTATAGACCACAAGGACCTTACCATCTGTAATTAACACATTTGTCTTGCTCCTTGCCCACCACTTACATCCTTCCCATTGGCCTTATGCACCTGGCAGCACATGGATATTTTAATGACCTCCTGGACATATTTACCCTCCATTGACCTTTTACCATCTGCACAAATACTTTGGGCAGTGGTCTCAGTG